CCTCTCCCTCGTCGTCCAGCGCGAGCATTTGGGGGGTTTGGTGATACCATCGTTCAGGGACATATAACGCACACTGCGTTCAGTGATGTATAACGTGGTGTTACTGAGGATAATGTCGATTCGGAAATCCGTCGAGTCGAGTATCGTCAGCCGAAAACAAATAAACAAGGTGGGATATTATAACAGGCCTTCCCAGGCGAAGAGGTGACTTAGTTGTAATGTGACCGTGTGGAGTGAACCACTGCTTGCTGTGATGAAAACGGAGTCAAACGGAAACTGCTATATAGAGCGAACAACTAAGTGAGGAAGGAAGAGAGTTACAGAGGAACAGAAGCTTATATACAGGCTGCCAGCAGCACGCACGTGCCGTGCTGCTACACGTGATCTGCCCCCAATTCCTCCAACTCCGTAACAAGTACTCCCTGAATATTATTACTAAGTACCCCTCCTTTAACCTTGCTAAATCGTATATTATTAAAGCTATTCCTAGATTCTACCTACTAGCGATATAGACGACTTAAGTTATAATTCCGACAAAGATTTAATACTCTTAGTAATAATTATATTAATTTTTAAAGGAAAGGACTAATTAGAAGAGGAGATAAGGCTAGTAGGATTTAATTATCGAAGTATATAAATAGGATAGACTAGTAATTAATATATAGTTAAACTTTTAACTTTAGTATATCCTAGGTATATTTATAAGGTTCTCTATATAAAATTAGAGACCTTTTATACGTTTAGGGATTAGCTTATCGAGAATACTAGTATTTATACTTATACTAGTATATTTCAAAGGGAGCTAATATATATATATTAATTAAGAAAAAGATTATTATATTTTTATATATCGTCGGCTATAGCTAATTAAATCGCGCGGCCTAGGAGAAGTTTACTTATACTAGTTCGAGTATTAGTAGGTCAACTAATAATTTAAAGTAGTAGGTATATATATACAAATTCGCTAGTAGAGCTTTCTATAAAGTACTCGATACCCTACTTATAGTATATAACTAATTTATAAAGTTACCTACTACTACTATATGTGACGACACGTACGAGATGTTGCTCAGAGAGCGTCCAAGGTGTAGGTTATGGAATCGTAGAACTGTCTATTCGAAGATTCTAAGCTAAAGAGAGAAGAGAAGAAAGGACAGAAGTCCAGGAGCTGGAAGCTCTTATATACAGGAGGGGTACCAAGGGTTATAGCTAACCGAGCCGGGCTCGGGAAGCACGGCGGCCGACGGGTGCCAGCCAGGGGCTGGTTTGAGGCATGGTGGCGGTGAGAACCGTCACACTATACTACTTTTAACTTATATTTAGAACGATTATCGCTTTTTTCTATATTTTAAGGATTATCTAGGTACTTTAGATAGTACGTATAACAATACATATATACTAACGTTCGAGTATACTGTGACGAAACTCAAACTATCTGACAAAGATAATCGTTTCGACGGTTGGTATGCGGGTAAGAAGTACAGATGCGCCGGGTTGTTAACTCGGAGGTAAACTCGTCACTTGTTAACAAAGAAGTAATAACTTAATAACTAGATTGCTAAACTAAGTTGAGCACGAAGCTCCTATCTAATGGCAGACGTGCCAGTCTTATATAGAACCTTCGTCCTCTCCTGGATCCATCAGATCCCTTGGATCCCTTCGGGATCTATCCGGGTCCATCACGTGACAGTAACCAATGGAAATCCTTGGATCGCTTAGCTACTCTAAGAAATAACTAGATTGCTAAACTAAGTTGAGCACGAAGCTCCTATCTAATGGCAGACGTGCCAGTCTTATATAGAACCTTCGTCCTCTCCTGGATCCATCAGATCCCTTGGATCCCTTCGGGATCTATCCGGGTCCATCACGTGACAGTAACCAATGGAAATCCTTGGATCGCTTAGCTACTCTAAGCGATCCCTATTATAAGAAACCTGGGTGTGCACTGTCGAGGGTTGCGCCTCCTATTATGACATGTATCACGTGGACACGTGATTCGTGACATATACTTAATATCGGAACCGTAAAAGAACGCTATCCTAGAATATCATAGCTATCTATAACTTCGATATATTATTTATATATCTCTTACCTAGGTAGGAGGGATCCGCATATAATAGTAGAGTCCTATCGGATACTTAGGCTTATAAAGGATTTAAGACGCCGCGTAGAAACTACTAGCTTAGTAACGCTAGATATAGAAATACCGAGTTCGTTCTAGCGTTATATTATAGTGTACGCTACTACTTAAAGGAGTAAAGGCTAGTAGATTAATAACCTAAGAATATAAAGGAGTTATTTAATTTATAGTACTTATCTTTATAGAATATAATTAAGCAGATATTTAGGGTATTAAAACGTTAATTTAAAGCTATAGTAATATTAATAGAGTACTTAATTAATACCTAGATTTAACTCGTCCTAGTAGTATATACTCTTTATAATTTTATTAAACTTAAGAAAGAAGGTAATAATAAGTTTAAAAAAGAGATTAAAGTAGATAAGTAAGTTATAGGTAAGAGAGTTAGTAGTACTAGAAATAGGTAGATAGATAGTAAAAGAGACGCTATTACTTAGGCTATATAGGATAATTATTTAGTATATTTAAGTTCTTACTAGTAGATAATTTTATAATAAAAGAGAAATTATATTATTAATTACTACCAAAAATATATAACTTATATATTACTAAGTAATATCGATTAAATCGAGTACGAAAGGTGGGTTTAGAGTATATAGAGTTTGTAGCGTAATATCGTTGGAAAACAGACCCTAAAGAAAATACTTATAACATTAGACCTAGGGTAACTATAAGTTGTTAGTATTACAATAAGTATTCTAAACTTATTCTTATACAATTATTTTAGTTATATAAAGCTTTTAGAACAATTTTACTTTAAGAGAGGGATATAGGGAGTATCGACTACGTCTTTTATAACTTAGGGGGGGGATAGTTAATTCTACTTATATAAACATTCGTATAAGAGACTTGTTTATAATTTAAAAGTCGTGATTACTCGAGTAAAAGTTCAGTGATTCAATGCCTGATTCGTATATATTCGTTCCGTAGTGAGGTCACGAGAGCACGAAGGGATATGGTATTTATATGGGTGGTATTTATATGGGTGGTATTTATATGGGTGGTATTCATATGGGTGGTATTTATATTCACATTGTTTTGTTTGGGGGAATGGGGTGCAATTGTTGATTCTGGGGGCAAAGGGGGGGTTGATTTGTCTTTTTTTTCTTTTTTTTTTCTTTTTCAAATGAGTGATGTTTACAGCTGTAAATCAACTTCAGGGAAAGCTTCCGTTTACCTTTCAAACCAGTTGAAGGAGTGTTAAAGCCGAGAAGCAAGCTCACAGAAGTTTAGCTTTAATCAAGGCTACCGTCCATAATCCTGATATCGTCAAATACTACATCACCGTCCGGACAGTTTTCCTCAAAAAACTCGACCTCAAACAAGTCAGATTGGAAATCCGTTTCGTCGTCGTCGTCGTCGTCGTTAGGGTGGTTTATAGAGTAGAGGGGGTGATCATATTCCTCATCCTCCGGAGTATCATCATACTGTCCACTCGACAAAAACCCGTCTTCAGTATACTGATCATCGCCAGAAACTCCATCCTCGTTTTGGAACTCTGGGTTGTCAACCTGGGACCAATACGTATCCTCGGCGGAATACTCATCTTCGGTGCTATCTGCATAGATGAAGCGATCACACTCATCAGAGCTATCAGAGATGTCTTCCCAATCATCCCAATCATCCCAATCATTATTGGACCAACTGAAGGACGAATACCAGGCTTCAAGCGCAGAGTCTTGGTCTTCGGACCAAGAATCCGAATTTTCTGCCTCGTCAGTAGCATCGTGCAACACAATACGTTCCTGTAATTTCTCATCCCGTTCTGCTTTTCGCTGCTTCTCTTGCAAGATTGCGTTTTTGTTGGTATGAGTATTCATTGTGGATTGGTTGGTGGTGATGTGTATGCTGTATGATTTCAGTTTGATATGTAGTTTATAAGTTGTAGATAACTTGATAATCTTGACAGAGTCTGAAGAACGACTTTCTAGCCTCAGAGATTGAAGTTTAGTTATGCACATCTAAAACCTCTGTTTCCTGCCTCCATGACGCTGTTCTTTGTAAATTGGGATTATCAATAGCTTCACAAACAGCCCTTTTGGGAAATCGCAGCGAGGCAGTTTACCACAAAGGAATTCTCTTTGCGTTGCCCTGCCTTATTCGAACAATTAACTTGTTTGTTTGTGTGGCGCTTTGTTGGAGCGCTGAAAGGAATTGCTAAGGGGTTGGTGGTTGGTGTTGGTTTTTGAGACAGTGGGTTTCGGGTTTCGGGTTTTACTGAAGCGTGAGCACCTTTTGTGAGCGTGGATCGAGGGCGGGTATGGCTGGCTGGCTGGACTTCATGATATGAGATGTAGGCGTGGTCTGCTGGAAGAGGGTTATGGTGGGTGTGTGGGAGGGGGGTAAATCTATTCTTTCCAGCAGATACACTTTCATTGCGTTTTGAGAAGGTTAGTGGATTTAAGCTGTGAATAGTTCACCACGCTTGGTAAGGAGAAGACGATGTGATAGCGGGATAGGTTTTGGTGGAAAGAGATGAGGAAAGAGTCGACCGTCATTAGAATCCGTGGGATATATAAAAGCCGTTTTATAGGAAAGTTGTGATCAAGTAACAGTTAAAGAGGACCAGACGTTAGGTTCTCATGGATGATATTATTGTAGGACTGTAGAGATAGGCAATCAAATTACAAGTAAAATTCGAACGCCGTTAGCTAACACATCTGTTCGTCTGTCATTTTCATATGCGTCCATCTTCCATCTCCACTTCTAATCTAACTCTAAACAAAAAACATAGCACGCTTCACACTGGACTAGCACCCAAGAAGCAGAAGCAAAATGATCATCCGTGTACAAGAAGTAGTGTATGATAGACGTGAATACTTCCTCAAATAACTGGCAGAAGTGGAATACTTCACGAATGAACAGTTCATGGAGACTTTTTTCCAATGTAAGAAAAGTAATATGTATCCTCGGCGTGGAGCAAAGACAGAATTTGGAGCAAATTTGTGAGATATATCAAGTACTATTCTCAAAGCGAGATCAAGTTAGATTGCTTTCTTTAGACATACTTGCAACCTTCCCAAAAGACCCGGTCTACAATCTAAAGGGCCTATTTGGATTTAAAAAAAGTTGCGATTATATTTGCGATTATTTTTACGATTATTCTATATAATCGCTAGAAAAAGTTGCCAGCTTATTTGAGATTTTTGGGTATAAGATTCACTATTTGAGCATTGACCATGCCTTGTCGATTCACTTTACTATCATATTATCAACACCATAAACAGGGCAAAACGCGTACATATAGAGCCTCAGTTTGAGCCGCATATAGACTACAGGCACTACACAAATGTATTTTGCGCTACAAATGCTCCCTGCGCTACAACTACTCCCTGCGCTACAAATACTCCTTATAATACAAATAAACCTTACGTACAATAGGAATAACAAGTGTATGCTATATATATAGTAAGATTAGAAGTGTCGAGACGTATTTTCTATAGAGGTATTATACTTTAACGCATTTGTATATATAGCACTTCATATGTGAACTTGAAAATAATCGCGAGAAATAGTACCTAAAACGAGCTATTTTTTTTGTATTGCGATTATATTGCGATTATATTTTAAGCGAATAATACAGCATTGTGTTTGGACTAGCGATTATTTTCGCGATTGCACAAATAATCGCTAAAATAATCTAATCCAAACAGGCCCTAAACCTAAGTATTATATGGTTTGGCTCCATGGTCCATGGAAAAGATAGATAGTGACACCAGCCTACTTTGTCACCATTCGATTACAGATACACAATTCCATCTCTCAAACATCTATCTCTACCCCACTTTCAAGCATGTAGATACCCATTATTCTCGCTTACTTCTCATCCACTCCCGTAAAGAAAATAACCCTAGTCCAAAGCAATAAACTAAAATACCTACTAATTACTCTATACACACTATGAAAAGAAAGTATTGTACCAAATCTCTAGCACAAGTGTAATAATTACATAGGTATACCCAGGTTAATAAAGAGTAAGCGGTAACAATTATTCTAAATTATCTATAAAACTATTCTAGTCATACGACGCCTTTGAAATATTTTTATTCCAACAGAGGTATGTACAGAGTAACGTCTACGTACCTTACCGTAAGCACTTACTTACCTAGACAACTGCTCAGCAGCACTCCGCTAGATTAACTTTGTGAGCTCTGCATTCATGGATTTTCTAGAGCGTCGGAGAGAATACGCAACGGATTTGTTATTTCTTACACTAATCTATCTATCTATTGTCTTTTCATGAGCAAGACTCAGCAAGTCCCTCCCTACCCAAGCAGAGCAAAGCAACCACCAAGTACTTCAATCCCCTTTTTCTAGCACTACAAGCTCAGCAAGCAATCCCACAAGCTAAGCAAGTAATCCCACCACCCCCTCATTATTTAAAAACAACGATCTTATCCTCAGTTTCAAAATAAAAACACTCAACATTTAGTCCCCTCCTCTCCCTCTCAGCACACTGATTACACATTTTTCTTCCACCAGGTCTACTCCCCGGACCCTCCCATCCTTCCAATGGAAAGTTCTGCGACAACCAACATACAACTGGTCCATCAACTTCCATAGTATTCCTACACATATTCTTGCGTCTATGGTTTCCATTCATGTTACTTGAATCCTTTCGACGGACCATCTTTATGATTTCGCGGTGCAGGCCGCTGCCTTTAAGTACGGGGTTTTCCTCAGACGAACCACTTTGTATTGTGTCCCAGCGATTACCGAGGACAAAAGTGGCTTATGGAGAGGAGGAGGGAGAGGAAGGGGAGAAGACGGGCGCATCGTAAGGCTTGGAGCGTTTTGCTCGTTTTGGTAGTTGGCTTGCCAGGGGGTCTTGAGAGGTGGAAGGGCGTTTGGCAGATTTGGACTGCATTGGGTTGATAATAGAAGCCTCGATGGCTTCTATGTTGTTGGAAACCGAATGAACGACCCGTCGATTACTTGTATTCTTAGTGTGACTGACGGGCGAGGGTCCTGGTGACCTGGATTCGTTTCCTCGGACTGAGGATACTGGTGTTTTTCCAAACAAAGATGTGGAATTACTACTGGCTGAAGTGATGACTTGCATATCTCCTTCCATACCATCTTCTTCGATTGGTGTACAGAAGAGTCGTCGGTTATCGGGAACTTGGTTGGGAATTGTAGTCATATAATCTTCCGGGAACTTTGGCGTGACAGGAGGAGCCCTCGTTGGATTTGTATTTTTCGAGACTGCGAACGTGGTGTTTTTATTGGTATTAGGATGTGGTGCGAAACAGATGTCTTCTGGTGTAGGACGTGGTTTTTTGTAGAAGACCTTGGATGTACCTGAGTGTTCTGTCAGTGCTAAATCAATTTGAAGGGTGAATAATGATGGCAAAAATTCAACAAGGGATTGTATGAAATCATAGAGAAGGCATTCTCTTCTATGAGCTCTCGCATAATCAAAAGTTCTCACCTTTTGACTGATATACATTCTCAGATGACGAGATAGAGCTCGCATCGGTATTTGAAGCCAGTGTATCATCTGAATCACTTGTCGTCTTTCTATGTCGTTCGCCCTCCGCTGTTGTGTTTGTAGTCGTAAAAAGAGAGATTCTCTCAAAGTCGTGGGCTGCGGCATCAACCTTTTGTTCTAACTGGGTGCAGGTTCCGTGTATACTATTCAGTTGGTTCTCCAGGTTGGCAATTCTTTGTCTAAGATCTTGTTCGGTCCGATCCCGTTCCTTTTCTCGTTGCTCGAGTTGACTAAACACTGATACGAGTTAGTATGTTTCGTTTGGAAGTGGAGCTTTGAAAATGCGCTCTCGTCGTGAAATTGCTTCGAAGATATTAGACGATGAAGGGATGAAAGCTCTAGGGCTCGCAGATCTGAAGTAATTGTTGATCGTTTGAAGCTCTCTCGAACCATTGAACAACTTGACCCAATGAACAAAGACCAATGACTTACATGTCATCAGAGTACCCAAGATTGGATTTGACTGTCTGGATAGAGAGTCCATTGCACGCGGCGAAACTGGACCAGTTGTGCTGTCTACCAGACCATCGTCTTGTCTGCCAATTCCATCCGCCATGGTAGACATGCGACGATAATCAACTAGACTATTGATTGGGAATGCGCAAAGAAGTAAAACAGTGATGCAGCTTCAGCAAAAATATCGGAAGGATTCAAATGAGGTTTGAAGGAAGTTGGCTTTTCATGATTGAGGTCGACGTTCCGAGGTCGGAGTTTGAAGCTGTTCTGATGAAATATGCCAACGACGGCAGGAGCGACCTGACCCAACGCCCTTTCCCTGCTTTTGCGCCGATCCTTCCTGTACCTTCAGATATCTCTGGATAGTCGACAGGTCGTTGTCAGGTAAATTTCGGGTGCTCATGAGAATGAAGGGGGGTTGGATAATGGAAGAGATCTTATGCCGCACAAGGCGTCATTGTGTGAGCTGAGTGTCAATTATCATTCACTAAGCAACATAGTTCCAAAGGACGTCGAACGAGGACTTAATTAACGCTGGATGCCTTCTCCGACTTGCTTAACCTTCCATCTGCAGCAACAGACCCAGCATATCCGTGCCTTTCCACGTCTTCCCATCCCTTGTGAGGTTCTAGTAGGTGTAAACTTTCGTCGATACGGATCTGACCGAGGAGGAAAAGAACTCGTCCATCGAGTAATCGCCAGCCATGATCCAAAGTAGTAGATGAAATTGATTCTGCTGGAAGACCGACGTAAATCCTTGCATCGTCTCCGGATCAACAATACGAATGGATCAGCTAAGCTGGCCCTGACCATGTTTGGTTCAACATCAACACTGGTGTCTCTATCCTCCACCCCACCAGGGTTTGCCTGCTTTCTGGTGAGCGACTCGATCTTTTCAAGGGTTTTGTTCACTCAACCAGAAGAGAGCCAGCCGCAGGTAGGGGACCGAGTTTTGTTTTGAAGTGATCTCGGTAGAGGAGATGAGGAGATGGAATCTCCAGTCCTCACACTGTGGGAATAGCGTGAGATTCAGAGTGCGGAGGCCATTATTTCCTTGGGTCGAAACGAGGGTCGCCAGATCAGGATTCTTAATTTCTGGAAGAGGTCCTCCTGACGGCGACGGTCCTTCTTGACCTGGGTTTCCTTCGTGGCGCTTCCAGCTTTCGCTAGTCCCATAAGTAGGGTTCACTAACTGCCCAAAACTGCCTTCTCGATTCGGTCGCTCGTCCTGTCAATGTACGGACCGCCTATCAATGTGGTGGCGATGATGCGACGTTCATTGCCAGGATTGTGTTCAATTGAGCAGCCTCGCTGGCCGCATTCTTTTCCAAAATCAGGGTCGAACTGACTGCTCATCCAATGTATGGATTTCTGAAATCTGCTCTTACAATTGTTGGGATTTCTCCCCAAAGAAGTGATGGAAAACCTCATGGCATTGGCCCTGAATGGCCTCCATGTCAACAGCAGCAGGTGTGATTCTGTATGCGCCATCATAGATCCCAGTGATTAGGGTATCTAGATCGATAAGGAGGCATCAACAGTCCTAGAGAAGTTGGTGAGTAACACCAGCAGCAGAAACACTAGCACCGTTGGTTGAAAGGAGTCGCTGGGTCAACAACAGCCTGCTGGCTTCCACAGTCTTGTGGTATCGAGATCGGAAAGCAGTGAATCAACAGTCCCGGGAAGTTGTTCAGCAATACCAGCAGCAGGAACACCAGCAGCGTTGACTAGCAGCTGTGAATGGGTTAGCAACAGCTTGCTGGTTTTCGGAATCTTGTGGTATTGAGACTGGAAAGCAGGGAATCAAACATTGATCAGCAAGACCAGCACCTTTGGCTAGCAGGATTGACTGGGTCGACAACAGCCTGCTGAATTCCAGAATATTGTGGGCTTGGACCAGCGGGAAGGCCAGCAGCAGAATCTGCATCAGCGTTCGTGTTGAAAGAGATTCATAGGGGCAACCATCAGGCTACCAGAGCTACCTGACCATCTGAATGGTGAACGGTAAGTTCTGCGCCTCTAGTAAGGCCATGCCAATTGGAGGTATCATCTGGTGGTATCTCTCAAATCCGCGAATCCCCAACGCCACCTAATCAACCCACTTTCAAAGTATCGGGATGCGAGAATGTGCGTTTCATGTGCGGTCGTAAAGGCCAAAGAGGGCGAGAGAGAGAGTTTGTTGATTTGCGACATCTGCTTTGTTCCAACTTCGTGGTTGTTGCTCACCGATCATGTGCTCAGCCTCCTGCTAACCGAAGGGGTATTGGTCAGCACGTGGTCGGCTAATTTCGGCTAATGTCAACACCAAATCGCGTCAACAATGTAGTCAAACTAAGAGAACAGAAGAACTTGGTGACTGAATGTGAGTTTGTTGATACGCGACTGACTAGAGTGTGTTCTTGACGTTCTGTTGATGGACCAGCACCTTCCTAACTCGGTGACTAGGCACCCGCATCCAACTGCCAATTGAGAAGGCTGATACAACGACGCGGAGGAATATCCGAAAACTTGAAAACTTGAATACATGCACATCTGCTTCCTTTTCCAGGATTTCCAGCATCTCCTGGTTGCTGTCCACCTTTTTCTTCAATACCGCAATTTCCGGCTAATTGGTGCGATTGTAGCGACCTCTGCTTAGTTTACCTCGTTTGGCCCGTTGGTTGTGCCACTTTGGAATGGCTGGCGGCCTCGTCGGAAGGATCAATTGAGATTGCCATTTTGACCGTGCCTGCTTCCACTTGTTGATGTTGAAGTGTGGGTAGTCTGCAGAATCAACTCTTCGATGTCGATTGCTCGCCGAAGGATCCCAGGTTTCATCTCGACAACCGCCAGTTCTGCTTTCACTTGTGGATGTTGAGGTTCTCGACGAAGGACACCTTGCAGTGTCCTTCAGAAGAACTTCGTCAATTCGCTCTTTTTCGCCATAGATCTCGAGAAGCTGATTGTACTTCAACTTGGAGCTGTGGTACTGCATCACCATATATGGTAGTCCTTCAAAAGCCGTGGTTTATTCTCCCTCCAACTCGTAAATTTGAGCCTTTTGCTCACACAATTCCTTCCCGATCTTGCGAATATGGATTCGTTGAGGAACCATACGGGATCGGATCAAGAGGATCTCAATCCACCCATAACACGGCGAACCATGTTATGGCCGTCAGGAAGGCTTTCCATTGAAGGGTTGAGCTTGTTGAAAGCCCAAGTCGCGATCGCCGGAGAATACCTTGCGGTATCTTGCACGAGGGTAACGAGTATCCCCCCCTCCCCCCTCCACCTTGCTTGAATGTACTTCCGCGTATTCTTCAATTTCAAGTCTGTCTTTTCGAGCCGTCGGCTCAATTGTCATCCATATTCGCTGACCAGTCTTGGACTGCCTTGGATCCTTTCTTATGGGATCAGAAGGCGGAGGGAGGGGAGGATTGTGAGGAGAAGGGTTCGTGGGTTCGATTTCAACTCTCGAGGTAGGTTGTACTTCCATCTGCTTAACGGTAGATTAGCAGATTGTCAGTTTATGCGGATCTGGGAATGAACTTACGATGGAAAGTAGTTTTTGCAAGGTTGCTCTGGTCTGCGACACTTTTGGGAGAGGGTTGAGTTTTGAGGTGGGAGTTTGTGGGATGGCTCGGTTAGATTACCTCCTGCCAGCCCCCGCCACCTCCCGTTTCCGGTCCTACCAGCACGTGTGTCTTCGGCCAGACTAAGATAACAGATTCAAACAGAGTTGAGGATATATTATTGATTCAATTTTAAGGTACCTCGTCGGAACTTGAAGTCAAACTAGGTCCCCATTTTCGCTTGCAGCCACAGCGCCTGCAAAGCTCAAAAAGGACTTGAGACTTTACTCGAACGCTCCATTGATCTAATGCTATCCTATTATTACTGCCTTCAGGTTCTTCTGTGTTCCTTCAATTCATTTGATGTCAGATGGTCTGCTCAACTTACAACCTTTGCCGCATTCAGTAGTCAGTAGTCTTCCCACATTCAGCACCCAGTACCCCGCATGCAAGCCTGCCCCCATTCAAGCAATCTTGCATCGTACTTGTATGAGAAGCTATTCCTATCATTCTCTTGAGTATCCTCACCGTATGCTGGTGCTTGTATTGCAAACACTTCCACCCCGTCCTCACTCCACACAAATCTTCGCAGCATACTTTTGCAAGCTTTGGTCACAGCACACTTGCAATTGAGGTTATTCCCAGAAACCACAACTTCATTGAAAGAATACAGCGCCAACCTGAATATTTTCCACTTCTTGAAACTGCCTTCCCCCTTCTGCGTGTGCCATCACCTTACCACCACTTTACTCCTATGCTTTGGCTCCAACCCCCGAGTACCTTCATCAGGGATAAGCTTGTTCTTCTGATCCCGACCCAAGCCACTTCGTGGTTCAGATTTGTCGCAGGCTGCCAGAACTCCCAACTGCATCGATACACCACCCGTGTACCCGATGCTATTCCCAAAGCACCATCTACGAGATGATCGCGCCCAACGTCCTAGATCCTGGCAGATTTGAAGTTTCTCCACGCAATTTTCTCGAACGATCGCATACACCCAGTTTTGCACTCAATGTTTCTTTCCCAACTGCATCACCACCTTTTGCCAATCCATTTAGTTTTTCTTGGTAAGTAGTCCATGGGGAATCCTTTTGGGCTTACACTTGCAGCAATCTTGTTTTTCATATCCTTCCATGACTTAGCTTCAGCTTTCTTTCTTCAAAAAGCCTCGGATAACAATGATACCATGGTTTCTTCAAGAAACAATCACAGTACACCACAACTTCCTCGCTGTCTACACAGCCTGCATACCTTCCTCCTATTCTCACTCCTCTCGGGCAAGGGGTAGAGTTTGAGGTTATTTACGCTGAGAAATAATTTACCAACGAGTTCCGCAACATCTCAACGGCGTTCTTGCAGTTGTAGTCCTCGATGTTTCTCGTAGATCCAGAGTGTCTGAGCCTCTTCACAATATAACCACAGTAGCCTTATGACATTTCAGTACCTGCCAAACGTTCGCAATCCTCATTTTCTCAATTATCTCGGACACACAACAAGTTTTGAAGCTACGTCCGCTGAAGGATAACAAGACAATGGCTTCGGCAGCATTCCGATAGTCTTCTTTGAACTGCATTCTTCGACTTCTCTCGTAAAACTGTAGTAATTAACTCTTCTTCTGGTATTTATCTGTGCCAAAGTACCGATAGCTCCATCTCAAGCGCTCAAGCTCCACTGTATTCTCCAGCCGTGCTCGTAGACCTGTGATCCTGAGGCTATCTCAAGATATTGATTGTTCTCACAGAAGCAACAGCAGGATTCCATGAGCGTTCTTTGAACTGCATTCTTCAACTTCGTTCGTAGAACTGTAGTAATTGACTCTTCTTCTGGTGTCTATCTGTGCCAAAGTACTGATAGCTCCATCTCAAGAGCTCAAGTTCCACTGTATTCTCAAGCTGTTCTCGTAGACCGGTGATCATGAGGTTATCCCAAGATATTGATTGCTTCCACAGAACCAACAGCATCGTTCCAAGTGCTTTCAAACATGTGTAGTTCTCAACTTCTCCCATAGATCCGTAATGTAGGAGTCTTCATACGATATTGATTGGCCCCAAAGCTGAGGAAGCTTCACGATAGCAGCTCTATTTGAGGTGTATTAGGCAAGATCCTTCGTAGATCAGTGATCCCACAATCTTCTTACGCGAATGGCTATGTAACTTGAGGCTCCGAGATCATCTCGAGATCACTCTTTAAGCTGTAATTCTCACGATGCTTCGTAGATCAATGATGCTGTGGTGTTGTCGCGATGTCAGAATCGTCAAATGGAACCGTAAAGCCATCTCAACAGCGCTATTCCATCTCTGAATCCCATAGTCTCTCGTATATCATCAATCTGAGCGCTTTCTTCAGTCGTAGCTTCTTCTTGAATCTCTGCACAAGTCGCGCAAGGACTTCAGAGGTTCTAGATTCTCCTGTAATCTTCGCAAACCTGAATTCCATCGACCGCTCTCTTTAGAAGCTCCCACCATCAGAATACGCTTCTCAGAGCTTTCTATCGCGTAAGAGGATCATGATACCTTCATTCTGCAACTTCAGGACGAATATCTTCGATGGAATACTATAATCACGGTACAATCATCAAATATCAGCGCTTCTAAGGGCTTCTTCATCACTGTATCATCGCGCCAACGTCTGGAATCACTCAAAAAGATCACATATCATCATGATACATCTACATTTACGATTACAGCTTTTACATGATGAAAACAGGTCATTTTGGGCCCATTTCACGCTGATTTCCACTTTCCCAAAAATGAAGCTATTCCCAGATTTCCAGACGACAGGGTGGGGTGTGTGTCTAACACGAGCTATTTAGAAGCACATCCCAAGCTCTGGCCAATCAGCGTTGCTCGTTTCGGCAGATTCACTCCCGCTTGTCACGTGCAAGGGGTTAAGCGAGGGTGGAATACTTAAGGCGATTCAACGCAGACCATTACATGTTTTTTTTCCTTCAGGCCACATCATTTCTTGACTGACCTCCTGTTTCTTTTCTTCACTTCGTTACATACATCACCACAACAACCATGGACAAGCCTCGCTCCAATCCGCCCCGGAGTGCCCGGCCCCTGAACTTCCAGCCACCACCACAACCATCTTCCGCTAGCTCCTCCTCCTCCAACTCTCAACCTCCTCAATCCCCATCCCCATCACCATCACCAACACCACCACGCCGCCGCCGCCCATCATCGCGCCCCCGCCCATCAATACAACGTCGCCGCCGCCGCCGCAGCCCATCACCACCACACCAAGGAGTCTTGCGCGCGCTTGCCCTTCCACCACCACCCAGAATGCCGAAGAACTCTGCTGTCCTGGACGCCTTCCGTCATGCGGAGGAGGAGGCTGACGAGGAGGCCCGTCGCGAGACGGTGGCTCCACCTCAACCTCCTCCGGTACGCATGGCGGTTGCGTACGCGGCGCCTGCGATCCCTCGTTCGAAGCCCCAGAAGCGTCCCAGAAGTGAGGCTGGTGACGCCGACTCTGGTATGTATCTCTTTCCATTCGTTCATTACTTGATCATTGATTCATCTACTGACAATTCTACAGGCACCTCTCACGGCGGCGACGAGCACCATCGTCGTCGCCAGCAACCCGTGCCATATCGTGCAGATATCGGCCGCTTCTTCGGCGAAGAGCCGAGGATGGGCACTTCTCAAGGGGCAGTCTCTGCCACAAGTCCTTCCCTTCGGGGTCAAGGCAACTTTCGGGAGGACCCCTCCGATCCGGAGGAGGATGAGGATGAGGCCGAGAGATTCAAGTTCGAGGCGGAGTTGATCAAGCGTCGGGAGGTGGAGAGCTTGACGGCGGGGACATATCAACGTAGCATACGCCGTCAGCATCATCTCCCCCTCCCGGTCGGCTACAAGCCAAGAGTCGCTCGTCCTTTTGCTGTCGACGCCGAGTCGGCCCAGTATGCTCTCGAGAACGAGTATGCTGCCGTCCCAACAGACCGTTTGCCAATCGAGCTCCAGGAGCATGCTCGCGCCCGTCGCCACGACGACTTGGGGTCTGAGTATCGCAAATGGAAGAGCGCTGGACATGGGGACTTTGCCAACTTACCGGTGCAAACACCAGCACGTCAAACCCGACCCACTGCCGCCACTTCTCCTTCCGTTCCTCCCAACCCATTTGGGTCCCTGACCGCAAACAAAGGTATGAGAGGTATCATCGCACGTCACGAACGAGAGAAACGGATGCGGGAGGCATCTAACACCCCGACCTCATCACCAGCTCTCTCTGGAAACCCTGTCGCCGGCCTCGCTCAAGGTAGTCAGGCATACAATCCTGGAGTCGTACCAAGTCCCAATCCTCCAGTACACGCGTCTCCTCCAGAGATGAGCTTCCGAGTCAACGGTGTCATCCAGCAAGACCCATTGTACAACTCCGTCAAGCACCTTATGAAGACCCAGGCAACTCCTCAAATCCCAGATGTCGTCTTCTACAAGGCCATGTGGCTCGCCGAGTTCAACAGCGAGGCGGTTCGTTCGGACCAATCGCTCAACCTTCCAAAGATGTCGCTCGATCGCAATACTGGTGTCAAATTCCTCGCCGCTCATTGGACTCCTCGCGATCAATTCACCATCCCCAACATCGTCACTTTCATCAACCACGCGTATCATTTCGCTGGCTACGCCAAACTCGATGGTCCTGATATTGATAACGCGCGGCTTGTTCTCGCTCCCGAAACTTTGACAATGCGCTTCAAGCTGGAGATGAATCGTTCAAACAGAGCTCCACATCACCAGATGAGTGTTGTGCCTATCACACGAAACACCTGGGAAGAGGTCAAGGACTACACCGATTATGACAATCTCGTCTACGGAACCTTGTTCATTGATTTCGGCGTTCGTCGTACTGATGAGCCTGAAAATCAGAAAGGGGGATTTATTCCGGGGAGTGCTTACGGTCGTGGAAGAAATATTACGGCGGATAGATGACGATGAAATTTGGGGACTTTTTACGGCTGCAGAGGAAATTTTCATGGCGGATAACAATTGATGATGATGAAAAACTGGCTTCAAGGCCTCAATGATGTTTGAATTACTTTATAATAGCCGGGTTCACCGAAGTTGTTGTGGTCTTTTCCATAAGCCACCGTTGGTACAGCGAAATAGCAAAGAAAATTACAAAAATCACAAAATTTCTTGGTGTTTTCATTGTGCGTGTGCGAAGATATACTTTAGCCGAGTTTTCGTGAATAGTGAATTTCATTGTTCCGATCAGATGGAACTATTAAACTTGATTGTTTGGGTTATTTAGAGTAATTATTTTGATTACGCGAGACTTGTAGAATAATTAGTACCTTGGTATCTAGTAATCTAGGATAACCTTAAATTTACCTCCTTATTCTAAGTACTCCCTTTAATTAACCTAACCTCTTGTATATTTACTACGTATATCTTTACTTTTTGTCTAAAACATCTAGCTCTACTAATATTTCAATTATTTGAACTTTTCTAGATAAGGAAATCACTTCTCTCTACTTACTAAAGAGTGAGTTTTCTCTAAACTCTCTACTCTTCGAAAGTACTTCTCTTACTCTATAAGTTTTAACTAAGAAAGTAACGTCCTTTAACTTCTAAGAATATAGAAATTCTATATATACAAAGTTCCTAATAGATAACTTCGCTATCTTAAAGGGTTCGAAAAAGAAAGTAACTTCTTTTTACTTAGAGAATAGGGTTATTTTCCTCTTTTCTATTCTTAGTATAGCTACCTTCCTTATTCTAAAGATTCCAAATAATAAAGTAGGTTCTTTTTACTTAGAGAATAGGTTTATTTCTCTATTTCCTTTATTTGGTATAGCCACTTCTCTTATTCCAATTATTTTAAGTAAGAAAGTAGGTACTTCTTACTTATAAAAATAGGACTTTATTCTTTGAATTAGATTCTAGAGATATTACTTAGATCTATTAATAGTTTTAACTAAAAGAATAGTTTTTTCTAACTTACGCGGAGTATTAGATCTAAGTAAAAAAAACTAGTAATTAGTTACTTTAGATAACTTATATTAAGTAATCGAATCTCTTTTCTTAATCTATAAAAACAGTATGATCTTTTATTACTTATATAATAAGTTGTTTTCTAGAGAAAGGATTTATCTAGAAGTTAGTTTAAGGTTAAGCTTCTTATAGTTACTTCTTACTTTCGACGCTTATAGCCTGTTACTTAAGAAGTGTATATTGATTTTACCTTACAAAGCTTTCACTTCAAATGCTTGACTTTCTTACTTAGTGTAGCATTATCTAAGCTTCTGATTTCGTCTGATTTCCTATCCTGTCGCTGGGATCCATGCCTTTAGATAGGTTTCAGTGTAAATACTTTTCTAAGGACCAGGCTTGAGGGGTCGACTCGTTGGCCTGCGGGGGATATGGAAGTATACCCTTTGGTCGCGACCATATGATGGAGGCCTTTTATTCTCTCAAGATAGGTCGCTAAGAGTGTTGTGTAGATTTGAGTAGGAAGTCGAGGTCGGGATCAACTAATAATGAATGTGAGTTAACAGAAGTTATCCTTAAATAGGTAACCTTGTGAAAGGGATTCTGGTTTGGATTCCCAGAATCCGTGCTAGTGGATATGCTGGATACTAAGCGATTTACTTGGTTGCACTGTGATATTCCTCGCCTTAGTTTGCCAAAAGGATACCATTTCGACTCAATTAAGTGATCTCTTAACTTTCTTTTAAAATTTGTCTCATCAGAAGTTTTCTGCAAGGCATCATCCACGATCCCAGGAAGCGCTAGACTTCGTGTAGCAAGAGAATAATTGTTTCATCTCATAGCTTTTGAAGAAAGGTTGAACCTGAAGAAACAGCGTTGAATACAGCTTCACTAACAAAGGGGCAAAAGCCAAGGTGAAGCTTTCTGCATATGAGAAGGGCTGTTAGGCGGTAAAAGATTGATAAATCTTTGGTACAGTAGCTGATTAGCGAACGTCGAATCTTTCCTCTGGGCTTGTTGGAGCCGTTCTTTTATCTTGGCGTAGTCACCTTCATATCGAATAAGGGCAACGTAGTATCCGTATGAATAGCTAAGTCTTGGGAAAAAAAGTAAAGCCCGGTTATTTTAAAGATTTCGAGTGATTATATTTTGATTGAGAGCTTACGGGAATGCTGCGTTCTTATTTGCATAACTTTAACCAAAGTTTCAGGCAAAAGTCAATCTATAAACTTTGCTAGAACAGTCTATCCTAAATCCCAAAGTACCAGATCTCATGTCCGGCACTTGTCGCGTTTACATTGGCCATTTACCCGAGGCTCAAATGACATTGTACGCTGATCTATCGGTAGTTAGCAGTGTAGACTCACCAGCGACTCTGTTCCACAAGTATCTCATCCGGAGGCAAATGTCACTTTTAGATTCTTGAAGGTGATTATGGTTAGTGAAGTAGTTGCCAACGCCCTTCAAGCGCTACCTGACCTTCCTCACGATCAATGCTCTTGCTTCTCCTTGACATACATTGAAGTTGATACCCAATGCCCGTTATCCTCTAATCTCGTGGTGAATAAATGCTGTACCAATGGTACAGTTCTACAAAAAGTTTTATTTGCGAATCTCGCTTCTGCGATCCTTCATCTGTGACGACTATACCTCGAGACGCTTCTTGGCTCTCTTTGAAACTAGCCGATGCGCATAGAAGTCGTTCTGAAGACTCTACTCCCAGCTTATAATTAAATTACCATATTAGTCAACTATCTAAACAAGGCCATGATCTAACATAAGCTTAATAAGCGAAGGGGAGGGGGTCCAAATGGTCCAGTGAGGACTTCTTCATCGCCACGATTGAACCAGGCAGTGGCATATTTAACACGATAGCCACTCTCCTTTTGCAGAATAATCAGGAAGGTCAGTGCCCTTCAACGTATTTGCAGACTACTCTAATCGAAGTCTTTTATCGGTATAAGAATAGATTGATATAGATTGATACACGCAAGTGGTGACATACCATGGTGCACACCCCTTGGAGACTTGCAACTTGTTACATTAAGATAAACTAAGAATATCACACATGACGAAATAGTATTAAATTAGCATAGTTCATATAACGCCGACTGCTAACAAGCCTAAAACGTCCTACAATCAATTAACTCAGGCGTCTTGTAGCCGCATAGCAACCATCATGTATAGTTTTAACACCCGGGTCCTAGAGTAATTCTACTTGCTCGCTATATCGCAACTGTCTTTAGCAAATAACAAAGTTAGCAATTTGAAGCATTTCAGTACCAACGTTCAGCGGACATTTTCCCGTTAAACTTGAACAGTAACAGACGTGCCCCTCAATTAGCTCAAACCTCCAGGTCTAGAAGACCTCTGGAGTGGTATTCTATCTCCAAATTCAGAGCAACAAAAAGAGATTATTATCAAGAATCGATGTGCTTCTTTGGTCAACTTAGTCGGAACCCTGACTTGTCCATGCCACTCCATATACCAAGCCGAAGTCCAGAGTGCCTTCCCTCACACTGTACTTCAGCGGGAGACTATTATACCACAATTTCAACGCTCTTCGATCCTTCCTCCCATCCACAAAAATATAAATTCGTAAACTCCAAGAACGAAAGATAATCTAAAATGGAAACAAACATAAAAAAAAGGACAAAAAGCGAGTATCCTTTCATTGACCTACACAGGGCTAGTATGTGTTAGTCTAAGCATACATTTGGGGGTTCTATATCTAGGATTGTTTACATCGAACCTGCAATCTCTTGATTCGTAGTCAAGCGCCTTGTCATTGGGCCAGTAGGCCATTTTACTTTTTGTTGTTGAAGATGAAGTGCTTAGTTGGATGAAAAGCCACACGAGTAGAGAATAAATGGGATTTTAAGTAGAGAGAGGGATCATCAGCGTTGGGATTTTGGGTGAATATCGTTTGGTGACTTATCTTACAATTGCTGGATACATGCTGTGGTTTCAGAGAGAAATTCAAATACTGAAATGCAAAATCCTCTCAGAAGATGCATGTGAATTCAATTGTTTGGCAGCTGTGGAAGTTCTCATAAGATCCGACTACATCAAAATAGGGTAATTCTTCAAGGCGGATTTATTTATCTACACCTTTTCCCTTAGATCATGTTCACAAGTAAATAGATTGATACCCAAACTCCCCTTACTTGAAAGAGTCACATACATCGATACAAGCCTGAGAGCATCAAAGTTTGTGAAGTCCAATTGTGGAAAACTCGCTAAAAGTTAGCATCAGATTCTTCCAAGGGATTCGATCATTAGGGGCATGAATAAACAACTACTTTTGAAAGAGGTAGAATCAGGCACGCCATAAGTGGAAAGGAAAAGTTACTTTGATCTGGAGTGATAAGTGTCGTCAAGCTATTTGGAAGCAAAGATTCCTGTAGGCGCGCAAGCCAAAACGGCCCGGATATCGGCATGTGCATGAAAGGTGACGATATTTCGTACATTCAGCTCTCTAGTGACAAAATTGTCCTAAAATTGCTTATTAGTAACCTCACCTTTGAATCAAAGTGAAGGTTCCTTTTACGTGCTGCTATAAGATTCGGTCTGCGACCTTCAAAGTCCTGAATGGATGCATATGGTGGAAAGACTCAGGTAGCACTACGCAATAGCCTTCATACACAATGCGGTCAACACACCCTCATAACTCGGGTGTTATTGTCTAATTCTTTCAAGCTTTTTGATCGTTATATCATGACTGAAAACAAGAAAGTATCTTTGTCGTGTTACTATCGAGTAGTTCTCCTTGCTCGAAGAGTTGGGATTTACCATATATCTCACAAACTTACCAAACGAATTGGATTCTTGCAGAATCAAAATTCAAATACTCACCTCCAAACCGATAGATTCAAAATCCCGAAATCGCATCAACCCCATTTCCTGATCGTCACCATGATCATTCAGCAAATCGAGAAAACTCTCCTCCCCTTCTTGATCACCCCTCGCCACATCATTCATCAATACCTCTTCCGCAGCCGAGTGAATATCCCGAACCCGGCGCCCCTCATCATCAGACGACTGCCCCGTCGACCCAGTGAAAGCAGAAGACCCAGAAGTTCCACTCTTCACGCCAAGCAACTCCCTCGCCACCTCACTAACCTCCCTCACACTCCTCCTCGCCATGCCCCAAACCCCCTTCTGGCTCCTCAGGGCCCCAAGTCCCAGACGAATTCTCTCCCGCCCAGTCTCATAACTCCCTTTCTTCCCAAATTGCCCTTCTCCACGCACAACAAGATTACAAGCGCCAACCTGCGCCATGACCGCCAGCGCCAATGCACAAGTCACGATCGGCGAGTGGAGGAGATGCTTCTCGGTCATGGCGAAAAGCTTGATGGAGCTCTCGATGGCTTCGAGAGACTTGGATGTATGTAGGAGTATGGAGCGTTGTAGGGAGCGGGTACGGTGGTGGATGGGGGGTGTGCACTTGGATTTTGTTTCTAGGGAGGAGTAGGGGATGAGGGAGTGGGGGCGATGGAGGGTGAGTTTTTCGCTTATTAGACGTTAGTCTTTTGTTATTCTATGAGCGGAAGGGGAAGGGGAAAATGCAGGAGAAACGAACCAATTTATTACTATATGAGCTAGGAACATCGTTTCATCTACCTTTCCATCTTGAAGGACGAGATCCGTCTTGCACTTTGGCAGGTACAGAAACCAATTCACGAACTTGGCATCGAAGGCCTCTAATACCCTCTCACCTGGAGCGTTGTCTTCGGGTTCGAGGGTTATCATCGAAGATGCGGTGCGACACGCATCAATGAGATAAGTGAAGGAGGAAAACACAATTTCTTCCTCTGAGAATTCTCGGTTGTCATGATCGGAAAGGCTATAAAGCTGGGGAATTTTCTATTTACATTTCTCATCAGTTTGCATGACGTGCAGAGGAGGGACATGAGAAATACATACACCAGAATAATAATCGTGATCTTCACAAGGCAACATGGCATCCCCGATGTTTTCTTGCAGCCTGTGAGAAGGATAATGGCTTATCGCCGCGAACACAGCATCGATACAATAAAGTATCCACCAAGTTCTCCTCCAGCTCTCTGCAAGAACAGCATCACCTTCTGCGTTTTTCCATGCAAATTCCTGTGTGTTCATTTTGATGAAAAGGGCAACGTCAATAGCTTTGTTAAGATATTCTTCCGCAGCTTCGTATTCATCTAAACAATGAATTGCGAGCGAGAATAGGATGAGTGCTTGTACAGAAAATGCATTCTTGGGGAGGGAGTCCTCGTTTAACTTTTCATGGGCAATTTGGCGGAGTGTATCAGTTTGTATTCCAGGTGTATAGAGAGCTCCAATAAAGTTCAAGACTGGAAGGAGGTAGTCGAGAGAAGATGGTCTGGTTTTAAGGAGTAAGATGAATTTCTTTCGGGGGAGGACAATCGGATGAGCATTGTGGAAGAATTCGAAGTAGCGACTGAGATGACTCCCATCGTCAAAAGTATCAGAGATTAAAGAATGGGTTTCACCCGGTGAACCGCTGTCGTGTCTAGAAGCCGCATGACTTTCTGAATGAGGACTTGTCGTCGCAGAAGTAGAAGTTGCATTGCAAATCATCTCATCGGATTGGGACCCCGTCGAAGTCCTGCTTCTCGCACCTCCCCTCACGGCAATTTTCTTGACACCTCCTACTCTTCCAGAGCCTCCTCGTCTGGACTTCGTATAAACACAACTCTTCTCCTCAACCTGGCATCTCGTACAAACAGGTTCCACTCCATCACATTTCGTATGTCTCGATCGACATGCAATGCAAGCTCTCGAAGCCCTCATCCTAGTTTTTCTTCTCCTCCCCTCCAAATCCTCAGTCCCAGTCTGGGTTTCAAATCCAGTAGGATACACGATCCCCGTATTCTGAACAGTACATGGATCCAACCAGAATGCCGGGTCGAGAAAAAGCTGTGTGTTGTCCATTATCGGAGACATTGTGAAACTTGGGAAGAGAGAATGCATAGGCTATGGTCACTTGTCTCGATATGGTGTAAAACAAGTGATTCGATGCTGCTATAGTATGCGAAATCAAATGCAAAAATGAAGGTTTAAATCAGCTCCCCTTTCAACTCTGGTTGGATAGCGAAAAAGACAAACACGAGAGATAAGATGAATTAGAGTTCTTCGTGAAAGCTCTTACAGAGATTCAATAAATCAAGTTACAAACCTTTGTGACTCCATCGGACTCTAGAACTCCTCCGGGCGCTAGTGCTGATTAATACGCCCACTTAGGCTATTCAGTAGATCCCACAACCATTGCTCACTTCCCTTCAATTCAAAGACCACGACTGCACAGATTATCTTGGCGCATGCGAAGGTCGGCATCTCCGTGGAATAACTGGAGGTTACACCAAACCTAGATACCAGCGAAATACACCCTATCAAACCTCAACTCAAAATCCTTGTAGAAATACAGAACTAGTAAAAGACGCGGGAGATGCCAAATTGAAATATGCCAGAGTGAGGAAAGTCTCTACCTCGCCTGAGCCACTTCATTGAATTTGTGAATCCTGGTAAAGTGAATTTGTTCTACTCTTCATAGGAACGGAAATATATGTACCCACATCAAAACTATGACCAAGAATACGTCTTACCTACACCTCGTGCTCCATGAAAAAAAGAGGGGTAGAGGACTAAGCAAGCACGCATCAGCCATTATATCTTATAGTAAGTGTTCTGCATATGGGGATCCAGCTTCCACGAGTAAAGACGCATGTGACTCAATTAACCATCCTCAATTAAGAAAAAGAATATCCCTAAATTATCCACCAAACCAATCCGAACCCATTTGTCCGGCCCAACTACAAAGTATACCTAAAACCCTCCTGTCCCTCAATAATCTTTCCACCCCTATCCGCGCGATTATTCGCAAGATGGAACTTCAGACTGAGCAGTCCAACAACGAGAATAATGACTCCGTTCGCGAGGATACAGGTCAGGATTCCAGGGCCGTATTTGGGTGCGTCTTGCTCGCGGAAGACGGTTGAGCCCATGATGCCGCCGATGCCACCGAAACCGACCAGGGTCGCGGAGCAGAGGGCGCGTTTCCATTGGCCTGGTGGTGGAGGAGTTAGTTAGTTTTCAGGGGGAGAGGAATTGGGGGATGATATACCTCTAATGTTGTTTGCTTGATAGGTAAGGATTGCGGGGATGTTTCCGTTGGCGCCGATAGTTGCGAGGAAGACACCGACTAGAACGTAATAGAGTCAGTATCTCTCTCATACTACGAATCCATATCGAAGAGTACTTACAATATCTCACACCGTTATTCTTTGCATATCCCAATAAAGGCAATCCGATGAGTCCCAACAACGCATTGAAGATTACTACTCCACCTCGATTACGAAATTTGTCACTCATCATGGCCATGAGGTACATGAATAAAGCCGCGCAGGCATACGGAGGCGCAACAAGACACTGTCCTTCTGCGATGGAAAAGCCCATTCCACGGACCAAGATGATGGGAAGAAAGTACGCAACTAGAAATTTGAGATTAGCAGTGTGCAAGTGTGAGAAAAATGGGAAGAAACCTTACTGGCGTAAGTAACAGTGGTACTAAGACCAAAGATGAGAGCAAAACCCCAAACTTTGAGATCAAGAGCATTCTTCATATAAGCAATAGCACTGAATGTTGTTGGCACGGCATCATCGCGATCTAGCTGGATACGGGCTACCACAAAAGCGGTTTCCCGTTCGTTGAGGAAGCGCCATGACCTGGCTGCGAGTTCAGGGAAGTCGACGATGAGGAACCAGGCGCCGAAGCCGACGGCACAGGTGATAAGTCCTTCCATCTATTATTTTCATTAGTACTTCCATAGTTGCGAGAAATGGTAGAATAATCGAACAATAAAGATCCATCTCCAGCCGGCGAGGTTTCCTAATCCGTGCATTTGCATGATACCGTATCTGTAAATCCTGTTAGTAGTTTGAAATGGTAGGTAAAGTGTAGACAACGTACGCGAGAATGCCAGAGCAAGCAGAAGCCAGACTACCAATAAGGTAGAAGACGGCATATCGCTTCTGTAGCTCATAACGTGTATACCAGCACGACATAAGATACGCGGATCCAGGGAAAAAACCAGCTTCGAGGACACCGAGGATAATTCTCAGACCGGCCATTTGATCCCACTTCTCCACAAATCCAAAGCACTGATTCCAATGAGCGATGTATGTCACGACTTATGGAAGGGAAAGGACCTACCATTATACATACACCCCATAAGATGACAATTGCAGTGAGGAAGATCCGGGGTCCAATTTTACGCATCAAGACCGTGGCGGGAGGTTGGAAAATAACATAGGGAATGAAAAAGAGTAGTACGATTAAACTGTACTGGGCTCCGACAAGATGGAGAGAGCCCGGTCCCTTAGCCATTCTGTAGATACGTAAGTTGCTGTAAAAGCGAGGCAGTCTTAAAAACCTGCTTGGAACTTACCCAGCAATGTTTGCGGAACTGAGGTTCACACGGTCCATCAAACTGCAGCAATATAGAACGCCCAATGTCACTACAAGCCTTCTATCGATTCGATGGATGATTTTCTTCTGCTCTTCCGGAGTGAATTGAGCGATTGCTGCATCATTGGCTTCATCAGTTGGGGTTCGTTCGACCTGGAACCACACCGTCAGTGGCAATTCAACCATCATATAAGCCCTGAGGTATCAAGAGAATTGAGATATCTTGACCACAGAGATTTGGTGTGATTTACTGCATGGATATCAATCTTCTCATCCGTAGGCGAAACATTCTTCTCGCTGTCGTGGACGCTCATCATGGGCAGGCCGTGGTGTAAGACAGGAGAATTGGAAAAGTAACAGAAAAGTGTGGTACGGCCAAGCGGGTTTGGTAGGACGATAGGAATGAATCAAGAGCATAAACTCAAAGTGAGGAGAGCCATCAGAATACTTATGAAGGTACGAGTAGCATTCTGCAGAATCACCCCGTAATATGCGGGGTACAAGTACTTGAGCGGGTCACGTCGTTAGCCAGTAGATCCCTACCTCCGCTGTCCATACATCAAAGGTAAAGAGAGCCAAGCCAAGCCATTTAAACGTAAAATAAGAGAGATTGGGTATATCATCACGATGTGTCAGGGGAAGGCTCGTGGCGTTATAGCATAACATAACCGAGGCTGGAACCATGGTCCTGGGAATGTTCACCCCACGAGGCGAAGGGAGATCAAAAGGATTGTCGGAAGCCACTCATCTGCTCACGTCTTCTAGTACTCCTTCGAGCTTATTGAGGTTGATTGTACAGAAGGAGCAGCTTAATACTTATAGATAACATGCATTCCCCATGGACGGAGGGATGAGATGTAAGGTGGAAGAAGTTGAGATTCTGATTGGAGTTTACAAGGTCTTATACCAAAAAAGGAAGGTGGCGAGGAATAAAACACAGTAAGAGTAAGCTTGGGGTCAAATACCACCATAAAACAAAGCTTGGTTGTGTTGTACAAGTCGGCTGTTGTGCTTCATCTCGCTTGCCTATAAGAGAAAGGACAAGATTTCCAGGTGTGGTTCTATGCATACATCTGCATGTACTCGTAGGTAAGACTCTGCCCTACGCGGATAGGATGCTTGGATCCGGTCTGTTCCAGCAAGCTGAAATCAATGCGGAAACTTTGCCTTGGTCGAATTTCGAAAAGGCACAGTAGGAAAATCAAAACACCCCCACCAAAGCCAAGTACAGTAGTCCTTTTTCTTCCCCATATTTCGGGAGCTAGGCGTCTTTGGGCGCGGGTTGTGGGGACAGCAGGAGATGCGGGGAAAACCAGTGAAAATCCAACCTAAGCCGGCATTGTAAAACACCTTCTCCGCCCCTCGAATTCCGACCTCGAAAGGCGGTCAAGTGATCAAGTCATAGTCGTAAAATCTGACATCAATGGCATTTTATACCAGAAACTGGGTGTCCATTGGTATGAAGACGAGAAATTTGATATAGCAGGGGTTGGAGTAAAAAATGAGTCGTGGAGAGCCTGGAAAAGGGAAAGGGAAAGGGAAACCTGGAAGAGGTGCAGTTGAGAAGGGAAAAGTGGACATGTTGATAGTCCCTAAAACCAGGGTCTCTCAACTACCCCCCACCCTAAAGAAAAGGTTATTTTTCTGGCTGCAGCACATACAAAAATACCCTTTTCAACGAGGGGGTAGTAAACAATCAAGCTTGACATATTGAAACAAGGCTGGTGGGGGAGTGAGCAATGACCAATTGCGTGTCGAAAAGGTTTATGATGTTTTTCGATGGGATGGTTTGCCACCAAAACGCTGTCGAGAACCATGCCCGTTACCCTTTGCTGGGCCGTCAAGTTGCATCCAGTCGGGCTTCAAGGTAGATTTTGGAGAGCCACAACAGTATCATTCCCCGAAGCCGGCTGCAATCCGGAAGATAAATGAGCTTTCCAAATACACTGCATGAGAGGAGATTATTACATTACATCGACAATTCGGGCATATCTTCCTAATTAGTCCCACAGATCTTCACATATCAGAGCGGAGAGGGTGGTTCTTACTGCCAGCACCGAGCGAGCAGTGGCTCCGCTAGCCAAAGTTCATTCCCGCTTTTCCAGCGCCTCCGCGGCTCTTTCCTTATATTCCTTCCATTCCCTTGAGAGGGCGAAATACACTTCGATAGCGATCAATATGATAATAATCCACTCCAAATGAACGCCGTGTTTCTCGCTCATGGTCGTTCGGAGAATGCTTGCAATTTCCTGCGCATAATCCATCTTTTCATTCAGCGTTTTGATTCGTATTCCTACATCAAGAGCTTTTCCAACTTGATCGTAGTATCCTTCCAAACCTAACTCGTGTCTGCTATCCCAGAAAATGTCTGGCAAAGAATCAGTCAGTTCCGAGTAATGATTCAATTGTGCTCTCAACTCCAGCAATTCGCCAGTTTTCTTAATTGTAAACTTTCGATTAAATGGCAGTCGTCCTTTGGAAAGCAATTTTGGTATTTTTCTCGTCGATTCAAAGTATTTCCCCAGCATTGTTTCTAGTACGGCAAGCTTGGTTGATCTGGCGAGGCCAGAGGAAAACGCGATTTTTGCGAAAGTGGTGTCGACGCTATTTTCGAAAAATGTTAATACAGTAGAGTCTGGCAAAAAGCTGTAAGGCAGGTTTGTTTACCTTTCAGCCTGTGAGCCTTCTTTCCCTATTCCCAGGGTTATGACGTCCCCTTTGATACCACTAGTATCTCTTGTATTATCTTCCGTATACTCCAGATGTTCCATTTCAACCTGATCGATATGCGGGCTTTCAGCAGCGGGGAGAAGGGTCTTTGTTGCCAGATCAAACACCACATCCTCCGGTAATGACCATGCCACCAATGATCCGGAGGGGAACACAAAAATGTCTCCATTATTTACGCCTCGCGTATGTATGACCTCGTCAGAATCAAAGCCGGTTCCATCAGGATCGATGGGAAAGCCATGGGTGCGCAAAATTCGAACCACTTCTTCCATATCGAATTTGTCTGCGACGGCCATCGCCGTCACACTATTGCTCCCTTCCTCAGGTAAGGACTTCTCCTTCTTCTGGGTGGATTCTCTTGAACGTTGTGCCTCGACTGCGACCCGACGTAGCGAGTTTTTTCCCGCTGGAGCCCGTTTGTTCTTTTTGTTTTGCGGACGCGATGCATCTTTGGAGTAGTCTTTTGGTTGGACTCTTGGTGGAGTAGCATTCCCAGACTCTACTTCTTGTTGGAAAGCTCTGCTGCGTAAAAAGAGCGTTCTATTTTGGGGTAATTGAGAGACCTTCTTGGCTAGAATGGGACAGAAAGGTTGTGGTGGGGGGAGACCATTACAAGTAGTGCGGATGCGCCGGAGAGAATTGGCGGCCCATCGGCGGCCGAATGGTTGCATTGCGGGGATGGTGAGCTGTAGACGAGACTAGAGATCTCGAGATCATATGCTTTCCAGGACGGGGTCCCATTGCTGAGGGAGAAATGAGGTTGGGAGTGGTGGCTGTGATGTGATGAAAGTTCGCAGGTCGAGGTCCTGGAAGTTGTTTTGGCCGACCGAGGAGGTGATTGGCCGACAATGAACCGACCGATGGAGCTTCAACACAGCTCTAGCTCCCCATGGGCCATGACATCGCTGAAGACCCTCTGAAGTCAACCCTGTCGACAACACCAAATATAATCGAGAGAATATGCCGATATGGCGGAACCTTCCCAGAAACAGGGCGACCCAAGTCTGCCAAAATCCGAAGACCCAAGTGCCGACGATGCGGTAGTCGACGAGGGGGACCAAAATGCGGTGCAGGTGCAGAGTGGTAGCGACGACAATGACAACAATGACGCCGAGGAGGACGAGGACGAGGAAGACGACAATGGTGACACTGATGGGGAGGAAGATGAAGAGGAACCCAAGCTGAAGTATGCCCGGCTCACCAGCTCCCTGGCACCCGTCTATCGAAATGGCGATGCGACCAGTGCCTTTTTAGTTGCTGGCGACAAGATGGTGGGTCACTCACCCACTTACTCACTCACTACACCTCTATCAGTTCACACTAACTGATCCATAGTTTATTGGGACACATAATGGCAATATTGTAAGTCTGTTCCTGTATAAAAAATGCCAAAAAGGGGACTCGCTAACAAACTGGCAGCATGTGTTATTATTACCGACATTCCAGTCACTTCGAGTATACCACGCCCATTCTGCTTCCATTTCCAGCATTTCCATATCCCCCTTTCCCCCACCGCTACCCACCGCCGTACCAGAGGGTGTCAGTCGAGTTGCCTCTCAAAACAAGGGAGCAAGGAGAACACCATCCATTACCTCGGAGGCATCGACATCGAACCCACGAGGGCCCCGAACACAAGTGGTACCTAATATTCCCTCGAATGCTATCTACATAGCCACCTCCTCCATAGATGGGAAAGTATGTGTTGCTTCTTTGGTAGAAGTCAAGGATGTTCAGTTGCGAGACTTTGCCCGCCCAGTCCAAGCCGTAGCCATCTCACCGGACTACAAAAATGATCGCTCCTATATTTCTGGAGGGCTTGCTGGGAACTTGGTCCTCACCGTAGGAGGGCGGGCCGGTACGAGTTCCATGTCTACCACTACTGGATCTGCTTCTGCTGCTGCATCTGGGTGGCTGGGCTCCATAGGATTGGGATCAAGCGCCGGGAAAGATACCGTATTGCACTCCGGTGAAGGAACGATTGCCACTATCAAGTACTCTCTTTCTGGAAAATACGTTGTTTGGGTCAACGAACATGGAGTCAAAATAATGCGAACCAATCTACATTTAGAAAGTGCAGATGCTGAATCTGCGTGGAAGCGAATAGGTCATGTCGATCGACCACAAGATGATGGATGGGAAGAAATGGCTGGCGTTTGGAAGGGAAGGGTAGAGTGGATTGACGAAACGAACCTCGAAACTGACGCAGATGATAAGACACGAGAGGCCTCGGCAACATCTGCAGCAACAGCCAAGTTGAAACAGCAATCGTCGAAGAGCAAGAAAAAGATTGAAAAGCTCCTCGTTGGATGGGGCGGTACCATGTGGATCATCAACGTGCACCCAGGTGGTATTGGGAGTGGTAAAAACGTAGGAGAGCGAACTGCAGGGAGTGCTGAAATCATCAAGATGTAAATTTTAACCAAATTCTTGCCGTCAACAAGCTAACATCTTTAGTTTGCGGATGGATTGCATTATTTCTGGACTTTCATTATATACCCCAACATTGCTTCTTGTACTTGCATATATTACACCAGACGAGGAAGAGGACGAAGAGCTGTCGACTCATAAGAAAGGCCACAAATCGAAGGCTTCAGCCACATCAACGAGTAGTGAGCCGAGAGGTGGAATCCGCCATCGTCAAAATGCGTTATCTCCTGAACTCCGACTGATTGATCTTGGATCATCTCAGGAAGTTGACACTGACACATTGACTGTTAGTCGATTTGAAAGGCTGTCTGCTACTGATTATCACCTCGGCCTTTTACCAGCTCCTAAAATACCAAAAGCGCTCCAAGCGTCACGGGGCACCTTGGAAACTCTGACGGGTATGGGAAGTGGTATGTGGAATGCCACTGTAAATGCCACATCACTACTCAGTTCAGCAGCAAGCACGCGAAGCAGTAGCAGCAAAGGCTCTGATGGAAAGGTAAGCGTAAGCAGCAGCGCTAGAACTGCAGTGGCGAAGTCAAACAACGTTCATCCACACATTGCATCGTTAGGCATGAAAATATTCATTCATAGTCCTTATGATTGTATCCTGGCGACCAAACGCGAACTTTCTGATCATTTGTCTTGGCTGCTAGAACGTCAGAAGAACCAAGAAGCATGGGAACTCATTGACAAACATCCGGAAGTCATTTCGTCATCACCAGAGAAAATTGCGGAAATTGGCCCTAATTCGCCAGATCTGAGGCAGGAAAGCGCCGATGATTTTTTTGATGATCGCGCTTCAACTATTGATTCTTCAAATAAAATTATTGCCACTGCGATCGAAAAGGAGAAGCGCCATATTGGCGAGCTCTGGATTAAGCAACTCGTCGATGCTGATGACTGGGTGACGGCTGGTCAAGTGTGCGGTAAGGTTTTGGGCACTGCGAAGCAATGGGATGAATGGGTCTTCATATTCGCTGGTGCCCACAAATTTGATGAAATTGCTAGTTTCATCCCCACAACTCAGTTACATCCTCCACTTCCTTCTCAAACCTACGAAGTCGTACTTGGTCATTACGCAGGTTCAAACCGACCCAAAGTTCGAGACTTGCTGGATTCATGGTCGCCTGAACTATTTGACATTAGTAGCGTTATCACTGTCCTCGAAAACCAGCTCAAATACAGAGATGTCAGGGAAGACAGTATCGAAGACGGACAAGTCGGGAGAGATTGGAGAATTGTTATGGAATGTCTTGGCAAGCTCCACGTAGCGAATGGCCGGCCCAGAGAAGCCTTGAAATGCTATATTCAGCTACAAGACGCAGATACTGCGATGGCTTTGATAAAGGATCATCATTTAGTAGATGCTGTCGCCGATGATATACCAGGCTTAATTCTCCTGCGTGTCTCAAAGGAACAAAAGAGATCTGCTTCGATCGGAGAGCTTCGGGAGCTCACGGCAGAAGCAATCGAGCTTTTGGTAAATGAAGCACGACAAGGCATCGTGCGCCCAGAAGTAGTTGTGGCACAACTCGAGGAAAAGAGGATGCTTTTATACTTATTCTTTTACATCAGTTCATTGTGGAATGGTGACGGTATTGATGAGGAGCAACGGGAAATTCGAGATAGGCTGATAGCAGACAGCAAGGCTCTAGTTAATGAGCTTGCAGATCTAACAGTCCATTTGTTTGCTCTCTATGATCGAGACCTGCTCATGGATCTCCTCAAAACCTCTACCTCCTACACCTTTGAAATTGTAAGTTATCTCCTCAATGATACGAAATTCGCACGTACAAACGATTCTGACTTCTTACACAGGCAACGAAAGAGTGCGAGGACGGGGACTACATTTCCGAACTAGTCTATCTTTATTCCAAAACCGGCAAAACCAAAGAAGCACTCTATCTCATCATCGACAAACTCGCCAATGTCTCTCAAGCCATCTCCTTCGCCAAAGAACAAAACGACGCTGATCTCTGGGAAGATCTTCTCAACTACTCCATGGATAAACCGCGATTCATCCGTGGTCTTCTAGAGGAAGTAGGTACAGCCATCGATCCGGTTCGACTCGTAAGAAGAATTCCCGAGGGACTGGAGATTGAAGGACTTCGTGAGGGTCTGGGGAGAATGATCAAAGAACATGATATTCAATATAGTATTTCCTCGGGCGTCGCCAAAGTTCTTCGAGGCGAAGTAGCAGCGGCGCAGAATTCTTTGCGTGCGGGGCAGAGGAAGGGGGTCAAATTCGATGTGGTTCATAAATCCGATGAGCATGTTGATATTGCTACCTCTGACGCTCCACCTACCGACACACCACTACTCAAGGTTCCTGCACCTCCAACTTCTGGTTCAAGGGAAAAGAATAAGCCGAAACCGGGTCATTGCGTGGGTTGTCGTGATCCATTCTCGGAACATGAGGTTGAAACTCTGGTGGGGTTCGCGTGCGGGCATGTTTTTCATCTCAGTCATTTGCTTAACTTTGGCAAAGGAGATGAAGATGAGAGACCGCTTACGCCACCGGGTGTGGATGAGCGTGGAGGGGATACTTGGGATGGGCCGTTGCATAGTGTTGGGGGAAAGGTTACGCATGCGGCGCTATTAAGGGATAGAATCAGGGATGGGTGTCCGGTTTGTGTGACTGTTGAGGTGGGGTAGATGGGTGAGGGTTGTATATAACTGAGAAACTGAATTTAAGTGAATTATGTCGAGATATAAAAGATGTTGGAGAGTGAGTTTGGTCTACTCGCTTAATCAATTAATACGTGGTGCGGGTTTTAACCGAGAGACACAAACCAGACTCGGTCCATCCACAATCAGAAGAAATCTGGTACATATTAAATGGCTAGCATTTCTATGATCTGAATCTCGCTCCTCGCCTACCTTCGCCTTGCCTGCTCCTGGCTCCTAGCTCGTCAACTTTCATAGCTGCTTGACGAGATCAGGACTCTGGGTTTACAACAAAGAGCATGAATAGCATTAAATTGTATTGATAGTTTGATTTTTTGGTTAACATTAAAATGACAATAGATAGCATGCAAAAATGGCAATAATGGCAAGGTAACAAGAACACCAAACACCTACATCCAACACTCAACCCAACCCTAGCAGTCAATCCGACAAAAGAAAAAGTGGGCGTACATGGTGTCTGTACATGTCCGTAAGTAGCCTCTCACACCTCACATCTCAACATCCCCCTCCTCCTCACCTTCCTCCAAAAACCCAAGTCCGCTATAAAACCGTCTCTTCTTCCTCCCCCCTTTTCTCGCAAGCGCACCATCAAACAGACCCGGACGAACGACGGAGCTCTGCTCCGCAACAACAGGAACGGAGGGTCCCTGCACGGAGATCTCCTCATTAAGATATCCAGTACTGATTTCTACAGCACTAACCATCTTCTCCCTCAACGCTTGCATAAACAGCGTTCCCCTCCTCTTCTCCCCCTCGACCTGCGCTTCGAGCTCGGAATTGGATTTGCGTAGAGAAGCGATAGTAGATTCTGCGGTCTCAAGGGACAAAGTGATACGTTGGACCTCCTCCCTGAGTTGGGAGACGCGCGCATCGCGAAGGGCGAGGGCGTGTCCATGGGATTTCTCGCGGTCTGAGGCTGAGAGTTCGAGGGTTTTGATGTGTTGGTCTTTTTCGGCGAGTGAGGTGGAGAGAGTAGCGAGCTCGTCCTGGATCTGGCGACCGGCTTCTAGAGCATTGCTCAGTCGGAGCTCGAGTTCTTTGAGGATGGTGGTTTTGTCTTCGTGCGCTTGTGGAGTGGTGTAGTTCCCCAACACCTCATTTTGAAGTTGCTCTTGCACTGAGGCGAGCTCGGATTGTAGACTTTGCTCTTTTTCGTGGCCGGCTGCTTCTATCTTTTCGATCAGCTTCTCTAGGTTTGCAACTTCTTGTCGGTAACCTTCGAGTGCTGATTGTAGTCTTCCGTTGCTGATTTCGGCTTGTTCCAATTCGTCCTTCAGGTCGTTTGCCTCCTTGTTGACAAGGTAGAGCTCTTTATTCAAGCTTTCACCGATGTCGATCCGGGTGCTGAGTTGCTGTCGTAGAGAGATTTCCTGTTCGTGATACTCGTCGATCTTTTCATCATTTCTTTTGGATTTCTTGACTAGGACCTTGATGCGGGAGACGAGCATTTCGAGTAACTTGTGGTTTTCGAATCCTTCCGGAATCTCACCGGGTGTTAGATACTCGAGATCAAGACGCGCTTGTCGAAATTGTCTTGCGATGATCTCCAAGGTCTCCTCGGGTCCCGAGGATACGAAGCCAAGGTTATTTACTTCCTGGCCCAAGGCTGAAAATGCGTTCTTGCTTTCAATGGCAAGCGATTGAGACAGTGCGAGTTGTGTGAGAACACCATCAAGGGCAGAATCCAGTGATGTATCGTCATGACATTCATCAGCTGGAAGATACTCAGAGAGTTTCTGTTCCAGACGTAGATGATGATCTTGATTGAACTCAATCGTTGATGTGAGATTTGCAACCTCGGCTTGGAGTGTCTCAAGTTGTTCTCGGAGCAATTCCTTCTCGGAGTCAACGACTAGTGGGCTAGCTTGTATACCGGCGTTCATCGACCTGCTAGGAGTATTTGGAACCGTGGATGGTGGCGATGGGAAAGAAGTATTTAGTCGCGTTGGAGTGGTAATCATCTCGTCGTTGTACGTGAATTCCAAATCGTAGTTTATAATCATATTTTCGTCTTCATCCTCGAAATCAAAGGGGTCCTTCGCCGCCATAGTCCAATTAGGATCATCAATCGTCGCATCATCGTCCTCCTCCTTACTTCGTAACTCAGCCCTCAATTGAATAATAACCCTCTCCAGCTCTCGGATTCTGTTAATTTGCATTGTATTCGTATTGACCTGGAATCCGGATTCCTCTTCAATCTGGCTCGCAATATCCTGTTCGTCCCGCATATTTTGGACTTCTAAATCTCTGGCAGCCAGCTCTTCCCTCAACCTTTCCACTTCCCTTTTCCGCCCTCTAGCCTCGTGTCTTTTCTCGATTTCAATTATGTTCGTCTCCTCGCTAAGTCTATTCCGTCTCAATCTCCTTGTGACCCTTCCATCGAGAACCTGTCGCAAAGGCGCGAATTGTATCTCCCCAGATAGCGGCGCGTCATATTGGGCCCGATTAGACTGCAACAAATTTACAGGTGTCGAATGTCTCCGTCTCGAGGTAGGTGTGGAAAGAAGGGAAGTTCTTCGCATAAATGGTGTGAGGCCCGAAGAATTCGAGTTACTCGGTGAAGGAATAGGTGGTCCTGGGTCGGAAAATCGTACTCGTTTCTTCACCCTTTTGGGCGTCGATGGCGGGGTTGAGATCCCATATTGTTGTCGTGCTTTTGTAGATGTACGGAAATTTGCTCGCAATGGCGAACTTCCGTTAGAAGATGGTGCAGCACTACTGCGTCGTTTGCGTCGGAGTGCTATGGGTTGTTCATCCTCTGATGTGAGGATGGGTAAGTGCTCGAGGTCGGCCATTTCGGACGCGGTTTTTTTTTTTGGTGGGGCAATGTCAACAAGGGTGGATATCGATAAAAATGAAGAAAATCCCTCTTTTCGATCAAGAATTGAAAAAATAGTTATGAATTTGCAATCACTCGATGCAAATGACGAAGCATCAGAGAATTGGATATTCAATAGAAGTTGGAACGCGGTCGTTGAAGCGGATACAAGCAGTGTAAACATGGATCGCTCAGTGGTTTGTTTACTCACTATCCCAAAGTAGCTAGCACGCTAGACGACCGCAACAGCGACCTGGGGTTTCAGGGGTCCATCCGCCAAAGTCGCCACAAATCCGGAAAACAATTGGTTCTCGTCACGGCAACATGGACCCATTTAGGCGCGTTGAGTCACACTTGTGGAGCTGCGATGGATGATCTTGGGTCCAAGTGGATTCCTAGCATTATTATGCCCAGAGTTCCATAAATATCGGAGTATGCTCCTTGGAGTCCTTGGCTTGCTGAACCTGCCTGGAATCACTCGGTAGTGGGAGTTTCAATCTTGAAAATCGTATATTTTCAACGGGTTTGCGATCTCAAGATACCGGGGAGAGAGGTTTTCAGTTCCCGTATTTTGATATCGTTGCGTAGGTAGTCGGCACAAACTCAATTCTTGTGGTCAATGCAACCAGTTTATCCATGCAGCTGGTTGGCATAAGATACATTGTATTTGCACAATGAGAAAATGTTACTAGAAAGGGACTCTCTGTTCTTCCCTCGTTGTCTACCAACTCCATATGTATTGAACTCTTGAGTATTTTTCAAAAAGTTTCGCCTGCTTTCTTTGCAGTTGAATTAACTCATCTGCATTTGATGGCTGAAGAGCCAGTGCAAACAGACTGTCTTAAGCGAGGCAATAAGGGGGTGTCGAGTTATTCATCTCGGCTCCCGAGTCCTCTGGGCTTTTTAACTACGGGCTGCAGATTAACGGAGATTAATTGTGGTTAAGCTGTCAACAAAAAGAATTGCAAAAAGAAATGGCTTTATGGAGTTTTTTATTCTGGATACTATGATACAACCGTCTCTAATGCAAATTCCTCCACAAAACAACAGTCTTCCCAATACTGTAAAAAGAAAAGCGAGAGAACAGGAAAATAAATCCGTCAACCTGGGTCTCTCTACACAACATTCTCTAGTTTCCTTTTTCAACCGTATCCTCTTCCTCAACCCGAGCTACCTATCATACAACTCCTAGTAAGCTTGCGTGTGACAGACCCCTCATTCTATATCCATTCAACGCCCTCACCAATTTGTTCTTTTCAATTTGCGATCATGGCCCGACCTACTAGAACAAACTTGATGTTCATGATCAGTGCCCCAACACTTCGAGCAAGTGTGAGCTGGCGCATTCATACGGGGTTTGCGTTCAGGCTACCTCTTCTCAGCACGCTTGATATCATAAGTACACCCATGATAAACATACCCAGTAATATAGCAATGAGATATCATGATTCAAATTGATGAGATTGATCGAGAACGCATTTTGACGCCTCATCTATAAAGCTTCTGAGGGGGTCCTTTGGATCTAAGAGGCGACCTAATGCGTGGGCTGTCTTGATCGTGTTTGTCAAGGTCCACAAGTTGCTAGAGACTGCTTCATACACTTGGGCACCAAAAGTGTTTAGGCATTTCTTCATATCCTCTTCGTTAGCAAGAGGGGATGTACCAGCTACGAATGGGACATGGTAATGGGTCCTAATCATATCAATTCTTTGCTTTATCAAGGCATCCAAATAAGCTGCGAGTAAATCTTTCTCATCGATGAGCCGTCTCCAAGCGAAAGCCGTGCGGATGGCTGATTTTAACTCATGGTTGTAATACTTGTTAGTTTATTTTGATGAGATATGTGAAGGATATCGTGATTGTACCGATTTGTGGAAAGGTAGACAAAAGCTGAAATGGTAAGTTCAGGATGTGTTGCGTATACATAAGTGATTCTAAAATCAAGCTTGGTTGACTAGGTATTTGCAGTTGAATTTGCGACTGGCACTTTCTCTTCCACCTTTGTCTGGCAGTGCTGTAACCTTTGCTACAGTGTTGCATTTACTTCTGCCATACTTAACAAATTCACTAAATTGCCACCAGAATGAAGTATTAACTTACATGAAAATTCCCACTTCACTAATAATGATACTGAATTAGGTGCACGCATGAAATCACTAGTTATATTCATTCTCATTCCCTATTGGACAATTCAAAAAACCTTACTAAATCGGTGAAGTACAATATGTCACAAAAAAGCCTCAACCTAACAACTCCAACCACCCACTAGAGATGAATTCACAAGGAGCTTGTTAGAGTCTTCAAAAAAAGACGCTCATGGTTATCGTCCACAATATCCAACCCGCACATACTTTCCTTTTGCTTCCTAATTTTCTCTACAAGCAGCAAAACACACGGCGGACAGAGCGGAAATTCTAACAACTGACATACTTTCAATAAGTGCTCAGAAGCGGGGCCCTAATAAAGCAAAATGAACCAAGAACTCCTCCTCTGCGCCTACCGTCTCCAAGCCCTCGTCTCCCAACAACACTACTGCGCCCGTCACATTGACGCCTCATCTCGCAGGCTCCTCCTCCTAATCACATCCCTCCACGCTGAGCCACCATTCCACAACCCACTTCCCGCCTCCAAGGAAGCCGTCGATGCAGACCTCGAGTTTCTGGCCATGGAGATGTTTAAGAGTCGCGAGATTTCGCTTCATACCGAGAAATTCAAGAGAGAGGTTAGGGATGATGTGAGACAGGAGGTTAGAGAGGCTGTTAGGGAGGAGATGGCAGACATTATATTTGAGATGGAGGAGAGTAATAGTGTGATTGAGCAAGAGAAGAAGCAGGATGAGGAGAAGGAGAGAGGTCTTATCGAGTCGGCTATTAGAGGATATCAGCGGACTATGATGGCTACTAATTGGTAAGCATTGGCTTTCCTTTTTGATCCTTTTCTCAAGTTGTTCGGTTCAGGTTCTTCTTCTTTACTGATGAACTTCCATATGTCGATGGACAGTGAGCTAATTCAAGGACCACAGGGGATCGCCACCTAGATCATTCAAGGCACCAAAAATGGTGGAATAGGGACTGTGCTTTTCTGCTGTGTGCTGGGCTCAATTGCTGCCGAAGAAGGTGAATATCAATGTATCTTTGTGGAGGATTGGGGATTTCTGCCAGGATGCTGTCCAAAAAATGAAAGAACAAACAAGAAAAGAGAAGATAAATATGATGGTGTCCACAAACTCAACTCCTGGTATTCATCTGCGGTAGAGATATGATAATCTCCTAAAAGCAAGAAATTCCATTCCTTCAAAATCGAATTTCCAGCAAGTGCAAATCCATTTCTTACATGAGTTTGTGCTTTACGCGCTCACATGCTCGTGGTGATTGCTCCAACCCCCTATTAAGTTGCCAAGATGCGGAGAATCGAGCTCAGGTCAAGTTATTGATTCACTGGAGTGAGCACAATTATGATACGGAATAAACAGACTTTGGGCAGTGATAGCATCGATAGTATATCGCCGAGGTATCCGACGATACATCGAGAGGAATTCCCATACGCCCATAATTAGTATTGTTGGTACGACCTGGTTGTCGTAAAGGGTGATACACAAACATAATCTCTCTTTGTATTCATTCGTGTATGAAGAGTAAAGGTAAAGAGAGGTGGTACCCTAAAAGCTTAAGTATATGAGTGGCAAGCCACTCACATGACCTAAAGCATATAGATCCACCAGGCTCTCGTACAAGGTGCTATTCACCAGAATTATATACCGACAAGTATTGATTCTGTCGAAAACGTTGTGATGTTAACTTATTCTATGCCAAACGCCAACAACCCTTAGAAATCGTGTGCTCTACTTTCCTCCTCTGTGCGCTGGACACGGTGTTTTTGAAGACCTTTTGTGTCTTTGTTTTACTTCTAGGAGTAGATGTCTACTAGATGCTCGTAAATAGCGTGGAAACAAGGTCGTTAGCAACTTAATAATACTCTTTCCTATTTCTAACATAAGAGCAATATTAGCCACTATCAGCCACTATCAGCGTTCGGCAACTAAAATTCCATTCTATTCTAGATACCCCTTCTAGAAGGATATTGGAAGTCTCCAGGGCTCTATAAATATTAAACAGTTAGATAACAAGTCATATCACGTAAATGTTCCTTTAAATTATATGGGGTGCAAGTATTGTAAATACTTCTAGAGTTAATTATAAAGGAACGTATTAGGTACTATTATATCTTCCTAGCTATTTTCTTAACTCTCTACCTAGGGCTATATAGCCCTTATAATCACGTGTTTTAACTAGTCTGGGTTTCCATTGATTCTATAGAAATTCTAGAGCTTACTAATAGAAGGAATCTTTCTATTTTATATAAGCTCTAGAAGGATTCTAGATAGAATAGAATCTGTGGAATTCTATAGAACTCGTTCCTTTTGCCGATCGCTGGCCACTATACCTTAAATTATACACTTAACTAATTATACACTAGCTCTAACTTCCAAACAAAAACGGTACAAGAGGAGTCAATACCATGTCTGGGCACTCGGACCGACTCTCTGCTCCGCACTGCCTAATTAGTACTTTACTTGATCTAATTCTTGGCGAGTAGAGAAGAGCAAGGTTACACCTTACTTAAGCAGAGTAGAGTAGAGTAGATGCCACTACTGTACTGCGCGATTTAGTTTTCTCGCGCTGGTTTATTATTTTGCTTTTGGTGTAAAGTTATAAAGAAATAAAGAATTGGGCTTATAGATAGATCTTGTGAGCTATGTTTGGATAATACCTCCCTCGCTAGCCCCTAAAAGCCGATATATGTTGATGATTGTTCCCTTCTGGCCGACGTTATATTGGTATTTGGCATCGGTCAAAGAAGATTTTGGTACGTATCAGTGAAGCAATATTGTTGTACGAGTAACGCAAGAGCACCTCACTGTGAGAGGCCAGACCTCGAATAGCTCAAAGGTGTGGTTTCGAATATTCAATTAAGAAGTGCGTGAAGACTACATACATGCGAGCTCTTCCTCTATATATAGAGAGGAAGAGCTTCCTGAATATTCCAAGAAACTTGCAAGAAACTTGAATGACGAATACATGATGTCAGAAGAACAAAACAAGAAAGTATGGAAAAGTAGAAACCTGTTTGGCAGTGGGGTAATGGCCAGTGCTAAGCAGGGACTTTGGTCAGTGCTTAACGAGGACTTTGGTCNGTGTGGAAAAGTAGAAACCTGTTTGGCAGTGGGGTAATGGCCAGTGCTAAGCAGGGACTTTGGTCAGTGCTTAACGAGGACTTTGGTCGGTGCTTAGCGAGAACATGGCCCGAGCCTCCATCATGGGTTCCAACCCTCACACGCTGTTTCTATTCCTATTTAGAAACAAAGATGTTGGCTACAAAAGTATACATATGAACAGTGGTGTACAAATAGGGATAGTAGCGAGCGAGAAAAAGAGAGCCCTAGGGCTCTGGCGTATGCTTCCTGCTCTTAGGCAGGAAATATGAAGTTGTTAATCATTCC